TTTCCATAAAACCAAACACCAAACCTACTTCCACTACCACTACCACTCAATTATTTTCATTTTTTTAATGTTAATTTATTGTTCTTTTGTTACACCCTTTTCTTTTTAATACAATATATTATAAATAATAACATGTTTTTAAGAATTAGCAACTAATAATAATTACAATTCATTATTTATGAAATAACTCATAATCTATGTTCTTCCTTTGAAAATTCCCACTTTCTATTTTCTCTTTGAAATGTTTATTTATTTATTTTTTTTTGTTCTATATAAAAGCATAGTAATTTTATTTACGGATGTAGTTTGGGTGTGATCAGCATTTATTTCATTTAATATTATTATATATATATTTTAATTAATGACTAATTTAATATTACCCTATAGTGGTGCGTGTGATGTTGTGTACAATGTGTTACATCTATTTACTGTTAATTATTACATTATTTACAAAGCATAGAAAGAACTACAAAATAAAGGTCTCCATCTCTTCAACTCCATGCTGAGGTTAATCATACCACGACTCTTCTCGTGACCCAGAGAGGGTCTTCTTACTCTCTTCTTCTTTTTGTTTATTATTTTTAATTACTTTATTATATCCTAATTAGTTGGAGTGCTGGTTGCATCCAAACGGTGCCGTTTTGGAACGCTTGGTTGGGCTGGGCTTCCGTCCGAGTTGGGCCTATTTTAAGGCCCATTGCTTTTCTTTTTGGGTTTCTGAATGCCGGGCCTTTGACCTTTTTACCTGAGATGGAAGATAGGTAATAAACAAACTAACTTTCTCGTATAGAGCAGATGGGTTACAATTTCTAATTCGTTAGTAATACGCCAACACCTTCTCGTACTATTTATGCTGGGCTACGTCTGGAATAAATTTGGAATTTTTTTAGTACAAATTACAAGTTTTATTAAGAGATCATAAAATTGATATTATACATAATTGTTAATTTTTTATTTTTCTATAAATAATTTTACATGGAAATACCAACTTCAGAACAGGCATTAATCATCCAAAATGGAAAGAGTTGGACCAGGCCAATTCTTGGACTAATGTTTCTAAACTTACCTGACTAGAGAGAAGGGTGATTAACCCAATAACTTTATTTCAAAGAACTGGTTTCTTTAACAGGGTAATGTATAAGAAATTATTGTGGAAACCTACTCATTTTCCGACAAACGAAATCCCCTTGTCGATGCTCGCAGCAAGCTCTTTCTTTGCCTTCTCCAAGCCAACCCTGTTTCGTAATCGCAATCATAAATCATCAGATGGGAGCTCTGACAAAATAACAGGTTTCTTGATAGAAAACTCTTTAAACGTATAAACATTCACTAACCTCTCGTACTCATTCAGGGGTCCTAGAGGCAATACTTCCTCAACTCCAGAACGACCAAGTCTCACCTTGGATGCGAAGTATGGAAGTTCAGTCACCTAAACAAGATAGCCTCTTCGTTTGTTTTTAACTTTTTAAATGTATACACACACGTATACATCTGTATATAGATAAATAGATAAATGGAGATTTATTAAAATAGTGAATGCAGAAAAGTCTAAAACAACATACGTGGGATGCCACAAAGGCACATTCAACGATGCCAGAATATCCTCTCAAGCCGCGAAGGCATGCATCTGCAAATTTAACAGCAGCATAGGCCTGCATGTTTGAATGATGTACTTCTGTCAAAGTTAAAGAATTTATGCATAAATGCATGTACTAATATAGAAAAAAGCGTTATATTGACTAACCATTGATAACGTTGCAGATCCAGCCCCAGCTTTAGCCTGCAAGATGATGCCGGTGACAGTAACTACAGATCCTGTGTCTATTATCATAATGGAAAATACAATAGATTTTCTTTTCATTTTTTAGAAATTCTTTTAACTTTTCTCTTTTCTCTTTGGTTTCACCTTCTTATATGCAACATCAGGAGTTAATCCATGGTCAGCCCTCCTATCATGAATTAGACCCTAATCATCTTTAATGCACACCACAAGAAAGTTGAATAGATGAAGAGCAGCCATAAGCGACATATAGCTAGGCAACCTTTGGTGATTGTTTATTTTTGCATGCAAAATAGTCCCGCATGCCCATAATGATTAATGATCTCAAAAGAATACGATGAGAAAGTTGAATATATGGACATTGTATGGGAAAGTAATAGCTAGGTAACAGTAACTGACAGTATTTTACCATTCCATTAAAACCTGCATCTGCATAAGGTTCAGCATCTAAGTAGAATCTATAAATGCCGAGAAGCTAAATAATTTACCTCAACAACTTCAGTCCCACCGTTTTGAATGCGGTCAGTTAGGTAATCGATTTCCTTTGGAGTGAAAGAACTTGGAGGTTTAACCTGTAAAAATGAAATAATGATTCATACAATCATAACAGCTCTGTATCATAATTGAAAACATTCAGACAAAAGCTTCAAGCAATTCAACAATGTTGGAAAAAAGTCCTCCCACACCTGGGATAGAAGAGGTAAGATAGTAACCCCGGCATGTCCTCCCACAACTGGAACATCAACTACCGTGGGATCAAGACCCAAAACTTCTGCCTACAATGAGCACGGAAAAACAATGGCAGAAAGAAGATACCAGTAAAATTAGTCAGGAAACTAAGAGCAGGAAAGGGTAAAGGAACATGAAATAAGAAACAATTTGCAAAACAGTGATCAATGCTGCATGACAATAGCACTGAAACATTTAATCATTTAAATCTAGGTATTTTATACAGTGTAAATATCATCTAATATTAATGTAAATTGTGAATTGAGAGCCAAAGGTGACTTCATGTGAGAAAAAGGGTGGAGTATACTTCAAACTTAAGCCATCGAAAACATATTTATTCACATAATCATTGCTATCTAAATTCAACTATTGGCGTACAACTTGTATGTAAATAAAATAAGCTAAGAATATGCTTAACAGTGCATACCACAAAAGTATTTGCTCTGACAACATCAAGCATTGTGACTCCTAAGAGTCGCTTCGGATCAAAGGTCCCTGCTTTCTTGAAAACTTCAGCTGCGATTGGTACTGTGGAGTTCACAGGATTACTAATCAAGTTGACAATTGCTTTTGGGCAGCACTTAGCTATTCCTTCACAAAGGGTCTTGACAATCCCGGCATTGATGTTGAACAGATCATCTCTTGTCATCCCTGGTTTCCTGGGAACACCAGCAGGAATGATTACAAGGTCCATGCCAGTGAGAGCTGCCTCCAGTTGTTGTTGTCCTAAAAATCCACGCACCTAAATAATTTCAATTCTTGCATTTAGTCAACTTGCTTGGGGCATAGATCAATCAATAACGGAGGTTCAATCTAAAACTAGGACCATCACTACTGTCTTGTGGAACGAATGTTTATAATCACTTCGTAATTGCCTGAGCCATTTGGCTATACTGTACTTAATGCCCTTCTTTTTAGTTCAAGCCTATTCTTTTTCTATATTCTATGATTTGTTTATACCAAGAATTTTACTGTACTTTATATTTTTGATATATAAGTAAACTAAGCGCACTCATATACTCAATTACATAATGATTAGTTTGTAGTTCCATTTGTTAGAGATAGTTAACCAAAGCACCTAACTTAAGTGAACATAAAATATAAAAATATTTTCTTGAAGAATTTATCATATTTGGTTTCTATCCTAATTCCTCTTTAATATAATTAAAATCTGAACTAAAACCAACCTAAATGAACTTCTCAATGATTTTATTCCCAATTGTCGTATCAAAAGAAAAAAAGATTATGACTCTTAACCAAAGTCTATAAATGCAACCTTAATAATCAGATCGCACTGAACAAAGCCAGACAATCAACACAAATTCTGCAGGAAAATTGCATATTTCATTTCCAGTTTCTTAGTCCGACTTATCTCTTTGATTCTTAACTATGACTTCACTCAAAATCCCAGTTGGATATATTGATGTACTGTTTCTAAGTTCCCGAGATTTAAACCCTTCAACCTGGCATCCCCAACTTCGTTTAAGATACAATCAATACAAAATCCCAAAATTAACAGCCAAGTATCCTATAACATGAAACTATTACTAATAACATCACAAAACTTGAACTTAAAAGACACTTAAGATTCTAAGCATCCAAACAATTCAAATTTCTAAGAAAAAAACAAGAGTACACGAACTTACAACAGCACCAGTGTCCATGTGACTAATATCAGCAGTAACCCCAGGAGTATTGACGACATCATAGAGATGAAGGACTGAAACCAATGGATTCATCTTCATCAACAATGCCAGAGGCTGCCCTATCCCTCCAGCTGCTCCAAGAATAGCCACCTTGAATCCCGTTGACCCGCCTTTTGCTCGACAATTCACCCGGCTCAAACCCGAACTCTCCTCCATCTATTCAACATGTTCAAGTTGATTACAAACCGAGAACTCGATGCTTTAAAAGTCGTCAAACAGGGAACCAGAAAAACAAGCATCATCGAAATTGTATCCGACCCGGTTTAATTAGAACCAGGACTTAACAATGAACTAATCCAAATAAATTCGCACAATCCAGACGAGAAATACAATCAATTAGCTAATCACTTTGAAAATTATTCCGAAAAAATCCCACAAACAAGTTGAGCAGAAGATATTTAAGCATAAGAACCTCGAGATTAGGCGGGTTAATGTGAGCAGAGATTCTCGCAATGCGTTGATTAGCGTCTTGAGCTGGCTGCATCTTCTTCGATGCTGAGCTCTTGTGAGATCCTCGCCTCTGCTACGTGTTAATCCTTACGATCAGGGAGACAGAGAGAAATGGGGGAAGATGGCAAAGGATTTATATGAATAATAATAATAATAACAAAGAAGATGACGTGAGGTTACGATCTGTTGCAGAGAATTGGGAAGTGTGGCAAACTGATCTTATCCTTCAATTTTCTTACTCCTCCCTCCTGCTGCACGCACCAGAAAATTCAATAATGTGATTGCGGTGTTCGATGTTTTACAGTTCTGTTATTTCTGTTTTATTTTAATAATAATTTGTTCCTAAATTTACAAAATTATTTTAATAATAATATAATTTTTTATTTATTTTATATTGAAATTATAATAATTAAATTCAATATTAATAATAAACTATTAATTTTCAGTAATAATTTCTTATTCCAAGTAAATTACTGTTCCGGGTCGTGATAGATTCGAGTGAATGACACTATGGCCCATGGGCCTAATTGGGTCTTAATTCCGGGCCGGATCTTTTTTATACTCCAAATTGGGCTTATTTGTAAATCAAAGGGAAATTTCTTAGGTGACCAAATTCAACCACAAACAAACATGATTCGAAATTCAATTGCATCAATTAAATAAAATAAATAAACAAAAAGACATGATTAATTATTATAAATATACTTATACGAATATTATTTACTATATTATATTATATTAAAATTTTATATTTTTATTTTTCACTATAAATATAATTATATTCATGTAATATAATAATATGATTTGTAAAATTACTATGATTTAAAAAGCTTTAGATAAAAATATTAAGAAGGAAATAAAAAACGTTGTCGGTGTGGGAGATAGATGATAAGGTTCTAGAAAAAGGGCAAGGTCACTATTGGTGTCATGTAATTAAAGATTACAACTTTGATGGGGTTGAGGAAATATTAACGTCTAAGGCACATTACCCCATCTTTCTTTGTCAAACAAGGTGGCTGTCTCATTTATCCTCACCATCTGTGTATTCAATTCGAACAATTAAAAGAAAAAAAAAAAATTGTACAAACTATAATGTATAATTTTAACATTATATACTAATTTAAATTATAATTAGAAAAGAAAAAGACTGAAATTGCACGGGCATCGCATGAAACGGTGGGTGAGTTTAGTGTGACGCTAATAAATAATTAGGTATTAATGAGTGATGGATTGAATGAGACCATGAAAGGGAGAGTTTTGTGTGTTGCCAGAAAACAGATTATAAGGTAAGTTGAAATGGGGCTTTCAACCGGCCACCTAAAAAAAACGCCAACAGAAGAGCCAATAAAACGCAGCGTTTTTACCGATTTCTCGGCTGGGCCCCCTCTTTAAACAACTCCATCTCTCATTCTTAATTTTTGTTCTCTCTCCCTCTTTCCCTGAAGCTCTCTTTCCATCTCTCTGTGGGAGAAAATGAGCAAATGGGCTGTAAGGACAAGCACTTCTCATCTTTTCTCAACCACCCGTTTCCCTCTGCGAGCTGAAATGACCCAATTGCCCTTCCCAATTAGGGTATACCCTGAAACTTGTTTCATTGAAATCAATGGACAGTATGGGGAAATCACTACCAGAATAAAGGGTATTCTGTATTCTTCTCTCTGAAAAACCACAGATTATGTTGTAGAGTAGGGAAAAAAAGAAAGGCAGACAGAATGGAGCCAGGCAATTTTAGATATAGCTTTGCAGAAAGATTCGATTTTTCCATATACATACATTCATATAGATATATACATGTGTGTGTGTATATATATATATATATACACTCACAGACCCTTTTGGCTATTAGGTCTTTTGCAAATATAGGAACATGCTGCGATTCTTGCTAGGTAAAGAAGAGAGGAGGACCGAGAAGCAAGAAGAAAATCGATTCAAGTTATCAACCACAGATGTTCACGCTGGTTTTTTCATATATAAGTTGCATGTATACGCCCGGGGATTCTTCACTCATGTATGTATGTGGGATTCTTTCTTTTTCTTTTCCGGTTTTATCTTTTAATGTCATTATAGGCAAACGTGTATGATTATTACAATCAAAGTATGTTCTTCCCAATTATTTTTAACAGGCTGAGTAATTACTTTTCCATGTTAATTCAGTACTTGATTTTTTTCCTTCTTGTTAAATATATCCACAGTGGCCATGTGTATTGCTTTGAATCCGTAGTCGTTAATTTTCTTTCAAATGAGAGCAGAATTGTTGTATTATCTGGTCTAAATCTTCTTTTCAATAAACTATCCTAATGCATATCTGTTTTATGAAGTACTAAAATATTGTTGAGTTCGAGCTCATATCATACTTGATTCAAATATATAGTTGAATATCAATACTCGTCGCGATCTTCTTCATTCTAACTTGGTATGACAGGCTTGTATATACGTATATAATTATGTGTATGTGTATGTGTGTGTGTGTGTGTAAACATACATGTATATGAGAAGATGACATGTTTAACTTCAATAGATGATTGTTTAAATTTTTGGTTCTTCAATCAAATGTTCTTTATTTATATTTTAGTTTTCATATCTCTTCGTGCCTTGTACTAAAATTTAAACAATAAAAATTAAGCGAAAATTGATATTTGAATTTAAAAATCTTGCTTTAATGCTATGTCCAGGTAAAACAATAAATTTTCTGCTGTGCATGGAAATTTTCAGTCTTGCAGGCGGATTTTCAGTGCTTTGTTTGACATATATATATATATATATATATATATATATATTGCGTGTTGATCATGGCATGTAACGTCGTATTTCACAAGTAATGTTCCCACAATGTCTAAACAGCCGAAAATTAGTAGAAGGCACCATAAAAGCAAAGCAAAGGGCTGCCCTCGGTAAGACCTAGCTTGCCAATATATGTGTGTATATATTTATAATATTTTATTATTGGTGTATGAAAACTTTATATTTAAATTGTTTAAAGTTGAAATATATATATTTTTTTAACTCACTAACTTCAAATGACATATCTTTTTTAAGGGATAAAATTATTATCAAATAAATTTTTAATCAAATCTTGTATACACTTGTATTATGATCTATTGTCTAAATTTAGCATTAGTTTTATACTATTGAATAAATAAAGCCTAGTTTATATTTACTTTGTTTGTAAATAATGTAATTTTTTTCGATTCATAATAAATAAATAAACTTTGAATTTTTTAAATAAATATAAAGTGCTATAATTTAATTATAATGTAAAATTATTAGAGATCAAACTATAATAAATACTAAATTTTGATAACTAATTTAATAATTCATCTTAAAAATAATCAGTAAATAAGATTATCATAAACATTCGGTTCTATTTCATTTTTCTTTAAAAAATAACACTTTTTTTTTTTTTACATGAAAACGAACTTTATTAATATAATGGTAAATATTACAATATGTGGGGAGTCACCATATTTTTCTTAAACAGAAAAGTTTGAATATGAACGAGCTTCCCTCGCTGAGCAGTGTGCTACCATATTTCCCTCTCTTTTTCTATGTCGGGCTGAGTAGCAAACAACGATTTGCTAACTCACTTTCTCTCATATAAAATTAGATCTTACATAAAATTTATGCTGAGACTCAATTTTTAGTGTTACGTGAGTTGTGAGATATTTGTCGTATTATAATTATTCCAACTCAATAAACCTAATCATTATAAAATATTTATTTTATCTGAATATGTTATTATTCGTTGAAAATAACCCAAATTTAATCACTAAAATTTTTAATTAATTAAATTATTTATTTTATTTAATCAAATATTATAAATCAACTATCGACAACTCAGTAAAATTTAAATTCACGATGTTTAAATAAAATACGAGAATATTGATAGGACGACCACGGTGTCGTGGTGACATGAGGTGTGTGTATAGCTGCTTCTTTTATACGGGCTCAGTTTTATTTCGCCGCCTAATGTAAAATCCAAACCCAAATCCCATAGGCCCATGAAAGTTGGCCTTTCAATGTGTTTTTTTTTCTTTTCATAATTTTGCGTAACTTAAGTTTCAAGGCAACTTCAGTATTTCTCCTTGAAAATGCTAAAATATGACAGATATAAACGATGCAATAAATTGACATAACACCAACAAATGCTCTATAGTAATTAAATTCGAATAGGTGAATATGTAATCTTTTAAAAAAATTGACTTAATTAAACCTAGATTATACAAGCCGAAGTTCCTGATGAGAGTGAGAAAAAGCCTGTAAAGTAAGAGCCTTTGAAAGCGAAACAAGCCGAAAAGGGAACTAAAAGCAAAAGCCGGGGGGAAAATAGAAAAAAAAAAAAATTATTGTTCTAGATCTGAACAATACGACGTCGCTTGAAACCCAGTTTAAATTTAAAAAAAAAGATCCCGCTGAAAAGGGGATAACGGCAGTTAATTTGGGAGGGTTAAGGCTGGCCAATCAATGTTCACCACTGGCAGCTTTCTAACCACAGTTAGCTAACCGCGGTTTTCATCCTCGTCTCCCTACTATATCCTCTATAAATATCAGCACAGATATCGCAGGAGCGTATTCCATCCGGAGGCATCAAAGGGCGTCTTAATAAACGCCGACCTCGTAATTTCCGATCTCTTTTTCCATTTTCTTTCCTAGATTTTTTTCTTCAAGCCAGAATGAGAGAGTGCATCTCGATCCACATCGGGCAAGCCGGTATTCAGGTTGGAAATGCCTGCTGGGAACTTTACTGCCTCGAGCATGGAATCCAGGTATTTTTTCGTTCTTCTTTGTAGATCTGTTCGTTTGTGATTTTTTTTCGTTCTTGATTGTAATTTTTCGGATCTAGTTTCGCATTTTGTTGTTTTTTTCTTGCAATGTTTAGGTTATAATAGGATTTAAAACTTGTTTCCGTGTAGTATCGAATTGCAGTCTGTGTAATCTAGGGTGTTATATTTGTTCTTTAACGTGTACCGACTGAAACATGTTAATATTATAGTAGTTTCTGTTTGTTTTACTAGATCCGGTCCTTTTATGTTACTATGATGAATAGTGTTTATTTTATTCATGGTAATTCTTTAGATCTGTGCTTTTAACGAGTTACGGGATACGCATATGATGAAAATATCTGAAGTTTAATGTTATATGCTTTGATTTGCGCAGTTTCTGTTTAAATTTGTCCAGATCTAGCATTTCTACGTGCTTCATTATGATGGATTTGCTGGGTATTATGTTTAGCCTATCATTTTCACGAATCATGTTCTTTTTTCTGTATTTGTTTTTTATTTTCGCGATGACTCGATGATTAGCACCTTTCTGTGTTTTTCTTTTCAAAAATATTCGCCTGTCTTAGGTTGCTTGTAGCCTGAATGTTGGTTTGTAATGTGTTAACCTTAATGGTTTACTAAGGAACATCTGATGTACTTAGAATGCGATCTCTTATTTCAGTTCCTCCTAGTAATTTTTTATAACGCCTTCTGCTTTTGTAAAGTTTCTCAAATTTTGTCTCTGCATTTTACAGCCTGATGGCCAGATGCCTAGTGATAAGACCGTTGGCGGAGGTGATGATGCATTCAACACATTCTTCAGTGAAACTGGGGCTGGAAAGCATGTTCCCCGTGCTGTTTTCGTAGATCTGGAGCCCACGGTCATTGATGAAGTTAGGACTGGAACATACCGCCAGCTCTTCCACCCCGAGCAGCTCATCAGCGGCAAGGAGGATGCCGCCAACAACTTTGCTCGTGGCCATTACACCAGTAATAATCTGATTCTCTACTTGCCTTTCTAATTATTTGATCCTTGAAACAAACAGCTAATTTTTCTTTCTAATGTATGCAGTTGGAAAGGAGATTGTTGATCTCTGCTTGGACCGCATTCGGAAGCTTGCAGATAACTGCACTGGTCTCCAAGGATTCCTTGTATTCAATGCTGTTGGTGGAGGCACTGGCTCTGGTCTCGGGTCCCTTCTGCTTGAGCGTCTGTCTGTGGACTATGGCAAGAAGTCCAAGCTTGGGTTCACCGTCTATCCATCTCCACAGGTTTCAACCTCTGTTGTTGAGCCCTACAACAGTGTCCTTTCAACTCACTCCCTCCTGGAACACACAGATGTTGCAGTATTGCTTGATAATGAAGCCATTTATGATATCTGTAGGCGCTCTCTTGACATTGAACGCCCTACCTACACGAACCTAAACCGTTTGGTTTCTCAGGTTGACTAATTGATTGCATTAAATATCAATACCTTTTTCTTTCCCTGAGGGTGAGTGATTCTAATCTTGTCTCGTGGACTTCACAGGTGATTTCATCACTCACCGCCTCCCTGAGGTTTGATGGTGCCTTGAATGTTGATGTGACTGAATTCCAGACCAATCTGGTGCCATACCCGAGGATTCACTTCATGCTTTCATCTTATGCGCCAGTCATCTCAGCTGAGAAAGCCTACCACGAGCAGCTCTCAGTTGCAGAGATCACGAACAGTGCATTTGAGCCCTCATCTATGATGGCCAAGTGTGATCCTCGCCATGGCAAGTACATGGCATGCTGTTTGATGTATCGAGGAGATGTGGTGCCCAAGGATGTGAATGCTGCAGTGGCCACAATCAAAACCAAGCGGACCATCCAATTTGTTGACTGGTGCCCAACTGGATTCAAGTGCGGAATCAACTACCAGCCACCTACTGTTGTTCCCGGCGGTGATCTTGCCAAGGTGCAGAGAGCTGTTTGCATGATCTCCAACTCCACCAGTGTTGCAGAGGTGTTCTCTCGCATTGACCACAAGTTTGATCTGATGTATGCGAAGAGAGCTTTTGTGCACTGGTATGTGGGTGAGGGAATGGAGGAAGGAGAATTCTCGGAGGCTCGTGAGGATCTTGCTGCCCTGGAGAAGGATTACGAGGAGGTTGGTGCTGAGGGTCCAGATGGTGAAGATGAAGACCCAGATGAGTACTAGAGGAAAAAGTGTTTTTTCCCGTAACAATTTCAGTTATCTCAGCTGATTTTGCATTATGATGGTGTTTTTGTTTAATGGCTGGGGAATGTATTTGTTGGTTGTCTTGTTTCTGTACTCTGAACTTTCTCTTTGATATGGATGTGGCTTCGTTTATCTGTTTTGGTCTTTTAAATCTTGATCCTCTTGATAAAAACATAATTCTGGAGAAATAAAATTCATCACCCTGTGTGTTAAGAGACAATTTGAACTCCCCAACCGTGCGCCTAGCGGAGTCCTCTACCGTGTTGCTGTAAGTTTTTGTTGTTGCAAGGCATTTTTGAAATTGGACTGGATCATGCTGTTTTTTGAATGATTTGAAAAATCCAATTTGATTTGGACTGGATCATTCCCAAAATAGATGCGTTACAAAAAATATTAATTTATTTTTTAATTAAAAAGATCAAAAATATTAATTTGAATTTGGCCAATAACGCTGTTTCATTAGATAAATGGTGTTGGCAGAAATGTTTTCTGGAAAGCGGAGAAGAAATGGCGGTGTACACGTGCAATTACATTATTAGAGGCATCATTGGAACAAGTGTTTTCTTTTTTTCCTTAAATCCATTCAACAGTTTTCGCAGGAAAGTCTTTGAAGTGGGGGAGGGGGGGGTGTGGTCTTCCACGCACCTAAACGTTCCTTCCCATACTTGCTCTTTAAAAAAAAAATCAAAATTAGAATTTTTTGGGCTTCTTCTTCTCTCTTCATTTTCTGCCAAGATTCTTTTTATCTGTCATTTCGCTTCATTTTCTTAAGAATAAATGCTTCGAAGTTTGTTTTCATTTCTCAGTCTGACGGTGGGAGTGGAATAGAAGGTGTATCTGTAGCTCTGTCATTTTGCCAAAAGGCGACGCAATGCAAAGAAATGGAAACTGACTTTTGGTGCCAACGAGCAGATATACAATTACTATGTGGATTTCTTTTACATATCAAACAGGTGTCATCGTCAAATGAAAACCAGATTTAATGCTCTCTTACTCACTACATCCACTGTTGTCTTCTTCCTTTGAATTGCTATATATATATATATATATATTTGTTAGACACGCGCACACCATATATATTTGGTTTTGCAGCAGACAAGAAGACAAGCATGCAACAAGAACAAGGACTAGAACGAAAAGCTGAAAAGCCTTCCTCCTTCACGTTCCCTTTTCTCTGAAGAAAGCATTCCAGCTCTTTGTAACTTTTGACTCCTCATCATTCAATCATCTGAGTTTGGAGATTTGATTGCCGATGGAGATGAAGAAAAAAGATCACGATAAAATTGCTTCCGCTACCAGTCAAAAACCTGAAACCAGCAATATCTT